GGGGGCAGCCGCGCTCCTGCCCTGCGCTTCTCTTGTCGTAAACACGCGGTGCAGAGCGGCGTGGGGCGGGGAGGGGCTGTGGGGCTGGTCGGGTCGGCCGGTTACGCCGCAAGTTGGTCGTACACAAGGACGGAGGCGGCAGCGGAGGAGGGCAGGCCGAGGTGTCGCGCCGCCAAGTTCGCTAACGATAATGGCAAACGTATCGAAGTAGTAGCGACAGCAGGGGGTGTGCGGTGGACGGGGAAGGGGTAGGGCGTTGAACTTGGTGCTCCGCTCGCCAGCCCCCATAGGTGACTAAACGCTCACTCGGCCGCCACTCTCGCCCCCCCCCCCCCACTCTCGCGCACTCTCGACCCCTCTCCCGGCCGGGGCGGGCCCGCGCGCACCGATACCCACGGTGTGCTTCATCATCACCTCTGACCCCCGCTGACCCCCGCGCTTGTTTCGGCTCCTTTATGTGTCCCGGGGGCCGGGAGAGTTGCGGCCGGGCCGCAGCTTGCGTTGTCAATTAACTGGTCCTCGTCGGGCAGCGGCGGGGCGGCGACCTCTCGCCGTATGTGTATATATGAACAGAGAGTAGCTCGCACCGCACCCTGAATACCATACGTTCATACTTATCACTGGTAAAAAGTGAAATGGGCGCAAGTCCAATGGGAATTCCGAGGACTTACGCCCTTTTCACTTTTCACCAGTGTCTTCAAGCGAACTGATAATTCATGCGCAGATTTGTAGTACATTTCCTTTAAAAAGGGGACATACATAGCATACGAGCAATTTCATTTAGTTAGGTGAAACATACCTTGTGACGTTAAACAAATTACCGTGTAATCTTGCAATTTTGCGCAATTTCATGTGAACACAGGGGCGCTTAGTTTTGTATGAAACCCGTTTTTAAAATAAGTCACTGAGTATATTGAGTTTCCGTCGAAAACTTGGAAAAACGATACCGCGTGCAACGGAAGCAATTTCTTCTACACAGCCCCTCTCCTTCGGACGGCCGTAAGCCTTTGACCCCGCTTTGACCCGACGCTCTGACCTCCTGAGCCTACGGCGCGGCGCCGGCCTCGTGTCCTCCGCGAGGCTACCTCACCCGTGGCCTAGCCCCAGGCCCCTCGCCATAAAGTATCCCTGGGCCAGCCTAGGCCGGGCGAGCGGCCAGCACAGCAGGTGTGGGGGCACGAACCCGCCAGCCAGCCCAGCCAGCTCGCCACGCACCACCCCACCTGTAGGCTATGCAATTAAGGGGCCTGGGGCGGGCGCCACGGCACCGCCATCGCTCTTCACACTTCACAGACTCTCACCCGCCCCTTCTCGGCTGCCCCGGAAAAATAAAGTAAAGCGTAAAATATATACGGAGGCCCTCCTAACCCCTCCCAGCTAGAGAGCGTTGGACGCCGCGGGTCGCGATGCCACCCAGAGATACCCGCCGCTCGCCTCACTCCCCCGGCGGCGCATTACGAACTCTCACGCGGAGTTGCTCTACGACCTCGAGCAGTCACCTTGGCGTTGCGGGCGGGGCGGGCCGGAGCAGGCGTTGTTTAAGGACCTCCAGGATAACCCCAGCAGCCGCCTCGGCAGCCGCCCGGTGCTTTTGCTGGCTTTTACTGCAGGCCGCGGGCGTTACCCCGCCTCCTCCTCCACCGCCGCCGTTACTCGTCGTTACGCGATGAAGCGTTATTCGTCCGGCCAGTTTGTTGGACGGCGGCGCGCGAGCGGCGAACAAGGAGCAGCCGGTCGTCACGCAGCGCACACTGTTAAGTGTGAATGGTTTTTATTGTATTTGATATAGTTTTCAGACAGTCTGGAAGAAGGGCATTAGGGACTTGGTATACTACACAAGTACAATCGAGGGGGCCAGGGGGCCACCACTCGCGTAAGCTTGTGTACAAATGAGGGTGTAATCCCTATGTAATCCTTGTGTAGTACGTGTAATACTTGACCAAATTTTAAAACATTATAACTACACTTCACCTTACTGTCCCAGTTTAATGCTTTTAGAGCCAGAAATTCAACAAAATGCATGTGTAATCCCTCAAAACTCACGTGTAATCCTATCACGCAATCCTGTGTACATGTTAAATCGGAGTAGTTGCCCCCTCGAGTACAATGCGCTTGGAACAGTAAGCACTCGTGTTTCTGAGTGTAGTGAGTAAGGTCTCGTTGCGCGTGCTGCAGTTCGCTTTCGGTTCACGAAGCAATGTTCCGGACTGCAGTGACAACGTGTCAGGTCAGTGCAATGCGGCTCCCGCCTCCCGCGTCATCCGAGTTGTTTTTTGTTGTTGGCCTTTTTTTTAGTGGGGGGAGGGTGGGATGTACCTTACAGTCGAATGGAGATTGCCATCTCCCCTGAGGCGAACACACACACACATACACACACACACAATGGAGAGAGAGACGTCGACATTTTACCCAGGAGCGTAGGGACAACCCGCGTCCCCGTTTTGTTCGTCCGCGAGCATTGCTCGGTATACTCAGTCGCTTACCCTACAACGCAAAGCTAACATAAGTTGCTCTTGTCCAGCGTGCAAGCCAATGGACTCTCGAGATGGCATACACTTTTTTGTGGCAATCTTCATTTTCACACTCGTACACGAAACAGTTTTATCGCAGGCTTTGCCACAGCTGTGACAAGTCTGTGGCATGCTGCAGGAAACAACAGCAAAGTTCGGTTGGCAGCCGGGCCAACACGGCAGCGAGACACCGGCACAGGTCACACGCTAGTTCACAGATCACTCAGGGGGCATCACAACATTAAAGCCACACCATATCGATTCAGTCGGTTCACTGTACGTTGTCGTAGACAACAACACTGTTTACGGGACCCGGGCCGGCCGGCTGCCAGGCGAGCTGGGGCTGGGAGCAGTGCGCGCGGAGTGTCCGCACGGTGCGACTGCCTGAAGAGAACAGAGAGAGAGAGAGAGAGCGGAAAAGAGGAAGTTCAGGCGAGATGGGTGGCTACATGGATATGTTAGAGTCCCCCCCCCCCCTTTCCTCTCTCTCTCTCTCTCTCTCTCTCTCACACGCACATACACACAC